AGAGTGAAAATCATTAACTCAGTGCCTCAAAGGTTAACTAATAAAAAGCATCATTTAAAAAACTTTATTTCTAGGTGGCTCAGTTGGTTACGCATTTGACTCTTGGCGCTGGCAGCGCGGAGTCTGCTTGGGACTCTCCCTCTCTCTTTGCCCTTCTCCTGCTCATGCTCTCTCTCTTAAAGTAAATAAATAAACTTAAAAAAAATTCCATAAAGTAAAATATATGTGATTTGTCAAAGTGATTTGTCAAGAATAGTAATATTTGCTATGGCAACTCAAGGTGCTTATTAATATAAAGCAAATAGCTGAATGGTCACCATATTCTCTATACTATAAAACATTGTACATTGGACCAAATTGATCCATTATACATAAAGTAGCATATAGACATTTTTCTTAGTTTTTTTTTTAAGTTTTAATTTAAATTCCAATTAGTTAACATACAGTGTAATATTAGTTTCATGTGTACAATATAGTGATTCAGTAATTCTATACATCACCTGATGCTCATCACAAGTGCCCTCCTTAATCTCCATCACCTATTTAACTCATCCCCCTACCAACCTTCCCTCTGATAACCATCAGTTTGTTCTCTGTAATTAAGAGTCTCTTGGGGCGCCTGGGTGGCACAGTCGGTTAAGCGTCCGACTTCCAGGCCTCCACGATCTCTACACTGTCGTGAGTTGAGCTCCACCTGGGCTCTGTGCTTGAATCTTCAGCTGCAGCACTCTGATTCGTTCTGTGTCTCCCTCTCTCTCTGACCCTCCCCCATTCATTCTCTGTCTCAAAAATAAATAAACGTTAAAAAAATAAAAAAAAAGAGTTTTTGGTTTGCCTCTATGTTTTCCCTTTGCTCATTTGTTTCGTTTCTCAAATTCCACTTGAGTAAAATCATAGGGTATTTGTCCTTCTCTATTTCACTTAACATAATACTTTCTAGTTGCATCCATGTCATTGCAAGTGACAATATTTCATTCTTTTTATTTTTTAAATTTTTTCTTTCGATTTCATTCTTTTTTATGGCTGAGTAATATTCCATCACATATATATGCGTATATATATATATATATATATACACACACACACGTATATATATATACACACACACCATCTCTTCTTTATCCATTCACTGGTTGATGGATACTTGGGCTGTTTCCATAATTTGCCTATTGTAAATAATACTGGTGCATGTATCCCTTTGAATTGGTATTTTTGTATTATTTGGGTTAAATACCCAGTAGTGCAATTGCTGGATTGTAGGGTAGTTCTATTTTTAACTTTTTGAGAAACCTCCATACTGTTTTCCAGAGTGGCTGCACCAGTTTACATTCCCACTAACAGGACAAGAGACTTTCCCTTACTCCACATCCTCACCAACACCTGTTGTTTCTTGTGTTGTTGATCTTAATCATTCTGACAAATACAAGGTGATATCTCATTACCATTTTGATTTTCATTTCCCTGATGGTAATATTAGGCATATTTTCATGGGTCTGTTAGCCATCTGGATAACTTCTTTGGGAAAATGTCTATTTATATCTTCTGCCCATTTTTTAATTGAATTATTTTTGGGGTATTGAGTTTTATAAGTTCTTTATAGATTTTGGATACTAACCCTTTATCGGATATGTCATTTGCAAATATATCTTCTCCCATTTGTTGTTTCCTTCACTGTGCAGAAGCTTTTTATTCTGATGTAGTCCCAATAGTTTATTTTAGCTTTTGTTTCCCTTGCTTCAGGAGATGTATCTAGAAAAAAGTTGCTATGGCCAATGTCAGAGAAATTACTGCCTGTGCTTTAAGGGGTTTTATGGTTTCAGGTCTCACATTTAGGTCTTTAATCCATTTTGAGGTTTTTTTTTTCCTTTTATTTGTTTATTTATTTATTTTGAGAGAGAGAGAGAGAGAGAGAGAGAGAGAGAGAGAGAGAAAGCACAAATAGAGAAAGCACGAGAGAGAGGGAGAAACAGAGAATCCCAAACAGGCTCCACAGCAGCAGTTTGGAGCTCAACTCGGGGCTCCAACCCATGAACTGTGAGATCATGATTGGAGCCAAAGTCAACGCTTAAACAACTGAGACACCCAGGCACCCCATTTTGAACTTATTTTTGTGTACAGTGAAAGAGAATGGTCCAGTTTCATTCCTCTGCATGTTGCTGTCCAGTTTTCTCAGTACCATTTGTTGAAGAGACAGTCTTTTTCCCATTGGATATTCTTTCCCGCTTTGTTGAAGTTAATTGACCATATAATTGTGGGTTCATTTCTGGGTTTTCTATTCTGTTCTATTGACCTATGTGCTATTTTTATGCCAGTTCCATATGGTTTTGATTACGACAGCTTTGTACTATAACCTGAAGTTCAGAATTTTGATGCCTCCAGCTTTGTTTTTTTTCAAGGTTGCTTTGGTAACTCATTTGTGGCTACATACAAATTTTAGGTTTGTTCTAGCTCTATGAAAAATGCTGTTGGTATTTCAATAGGGATTCCATTAAATGTGCCACTTGCTTTTGGTAGTATAGACATTTTAACAGTATTTGTTCTAATCCATGAGCATTGAATGTCTTTCCATTTCTTTGTATCACCTTTGATTTCTTTCATCAGTGCTTTATCATTTTCAGAGTACAGCCCTTTCACCTCTTTGGTTAGCTTTACTCTTAGGTATCTTACGATTTTTGGTGCAATTGTAAATGGGATTGATTCCTTAATGTCTCTGCTGCTTCATTATTGGTGTATAGAAATGCAACAGATTCCGGTATGTTGATTTTATATCCCATGACACTACTGAATTCGTGTATTGTTTCTAGCAGTTTTTTGGTGGAGTCTTTCGGGTTTTCTGGGTTTTCTATATATAGGGTCATGTTCTGCAAATAGTGAGTTTGACTTCTTCCTGGCTGATTTGGATGCCTTTTATTTCTTTTTGTTATCTGACTACTGTGGCTAGGACTTCCAGTACTATGTTGAATAAAAGTGGTAAGAATAGACATCCCTGTGAATGTATCACAGGCAACATTGTTCTTTGACTGTACAGGAAAAGCTCAGTGTTTTCCCATTTAGGATGATGTTCGCTGTGGGTTTTTCATATATGGCATTTATTATGTTGAGGTATATTCCCTCTAAACCTATTTGTTGAGGGTTTTTATCATGAATGGATGTTGTACTTTGTCAAATGCTTTTTCTGCATTATTGAAATGATCATATAGTTCTTTTTTTAAATTAATGTAATCTATTACATTGATTGATTTGGGAATACTGAACCACCCTGGCAACCCAGGAATAATTACCACTTGATTGTGGTGAATGATTTTTTTAGTGTATTGTTGGATTCGGTTTGCTAGTATTTTGTTGAGAAGTTTTGCATCTATGTTCATCAGAGATATTGGCCTGTAGTTCTCTTTTTTGGTGGTGTCTGGTTTTGGTATCAGGGTAATGCTGGTATTTGTTTGTTTGTTTTTTAACACGATATTTTCTTAGTCCTAAAACTAGGGCAATCGACCCCATAATATCTTAGGCAGGCAACTTAATATAAAAAGGTTTTTTTTAAGTGATATGTGTGTATGTTTGTGTGTATGTGGGGGGTATATATACATAAAGAGTATGTTACATGAATTAAGGAGTATATTATTAAAAAAAAGAAGAAGGAGAAGAAAAACCGGCCACGATGCAGGGACCAGGAGGCCACCTCTGCACGTGGTGGCATCAGGAAAGAAGTGCTTCAGTTGATAATCTGGGGATCAGAAGCCATGGCAGAACCACACTGCACTTACTAGATCTACACAAGGAGAAAGGACACATCTGTCTCCTCAGGGTATTCAGTTCTTTTTTCTAAATTTTTTTTTTTATGTGTATTTATTTTTGAGACAGAGAGAAACAGAGCATGAACGGGGGAGAGTCAGAGAGAGGGAGACACAGAATCCGAAACAGGCTCCGGGCTCCGAGCTGTCAGCACAGGGCCCGACGCGGGGCTTGAACTCACAGACTGTGAGATCATGACCTGAGCCGAAGTCGGATGCTTAACCGACTGAGCCACCCAAGCACCCCGTCAGGGTATTCAGTTCTTAATTCAAGGCTACACAGTGCGTGTCACTGGAGCAGCAGCTGAGCAAGTCAATGAACCACATTCATCCCCATAAACACTTGGGCTGCTAAGAATTTGCCCTCTGGATTTCTCACATTGTAGCAAAGAATAACTATGTCCCCTCGCACTTCAGATCTCAACAACTGAAATGGAGATTTTTAACAGAGTAGATGCAGAGACATCAGTAAGCCCACAACAAGACCATTCACACATGGAGATTTTTTCCCTGTTTGTTTGTCCATTTAGGGGTTCCTTTTGGTACGTGATGCTGATTGTGTAAGTTTAAGGAGTACCACTTTGTTTTGGGTTTTTTTTTTTAAGTTTTTATTTTATTTTTGGGTAATTTCTATACCAAATGTGGGGCTCGAACCCTGAGATCAAGAGTCACATGTTCCTCCGACTAAGCCAGCCAGGTGCACCTATAACGTGTGGATTTAATACATTAATATATATTGCTATATGATTACCTCCTTGGTGTTAGCTAACGCTTCTATCGCCTCACATCATTATCATTTCCTTTCTGTGGTGAGAACAATTAAGATATGTAATCTTTTGGCAACTCTCAAGTTTACAATACACACAGTATGGTTGGCTGTGGTCACTGTGCTATGCCTTAGATCTCCAGGACTTATGTATCTACTGGTAGCAACACGTGTGTTTTTAAAAATCCCCAGACATTTATAATTTTATCATAATATAAAATATGGAGCACCACTGTACTTATTGTTCTGCTGCAATTTGATTTCTCTGCTTAATGTTATTTCCTAAGTGTAGATAAATTGATAAGATTCTGTCAACGTATATAGATTTATCTACATCTCTTTTTTCTTTTGTAACTGAAAAATACATGCATATGGGGGAAAAAATTCAAATAGTACAAAAGGCAGATAGTAAAATATATCAGGTATTCCTTCTATGAGGCCCTCAGTCCTCCACCTCAGTGGCCACTAGTGTTAAAACAGTCATGTGAATGCATCTAGAAATAATCTGTGTTTAGCCAGGAATACACATGCACAGCAGCCCTCTGAATTCTCTTTTAAAATGTGTAAATAGGAACATTCTGTGCACACTGTTGTAAACCTATGTTTGCAAACACTCAATAATATAATTGTGAACGCTGGTCTAATATATGCACATCCACCCTGTTTCTTTTTCAGAGACTGCAGAGCATTCTTTCATATGGATGGGACATACAAAGTGTCCTCTGAGTGGTGGTAGGGGCAGTAAGTTGATATCATGGACAGGAGTACTATTATCAACAATCTCCTGACACATGAGCAAATACATCTACAGTAAACTCTTTGAAGAAGAGAGATGAGTCAAAAAGTATGCACATTTTAAATGTCAGTACATGTAGCCAAACTGCCCTCTAAAGAGCTTCTATATATATTTAAGAACATCACCTTTGTATGGATTACTTTGTCCCAGCCAACTTACATGTATTAACAAGAGCAGATTTGCTATGATGACCGTAGGAAGAGGATGGAATCTGGGTCTAAAATGAGCATGTAATGAATGATGTGGGAGATGCTGGGTGTCCAGAAGGGGGTCATCTTCAATACTTTGGGTGAGATCCAAGGAGCCCTGAGGGACAGAAAAACAGAAGCAAACTATAATCACCACTTTCTGGATTATGTTTCTAAGACAAATCTACTAAACTATAAAGCTTTGGGGCGCCTGGGTGGCTCAGTCGGTTAAGAATCTGACTTTGGCTCAGGTCATGATCCCATGGTTCATGAGTCCAAGCCCCACATTGGGTGCCATGCTGACAGCTCGGAGCCTGGAACCTGCTTCAGATTCTGTGAATCCCTCTTCTCTCTGCCCCAACCCTACTTGCGCTCTGTCTCTATCTCTCAAAAATGAATAAATGTTAAAAAAAAAATTAAAAAAATAAACCATAAAGCTTTAAAAAACCATTATACAAGTTAGAAGAAAGAAAAATAGACTCCCTACCTAGAGCCAATTTAAAAAGACCATAAACTTCTAGACAACTACTATACACAAATTGGTGAAGCAAGTATTAAAATGGGTACAGGAAATCTTAACTTCAGTTATCTTCAAATGAGATAATACAGAATGAGATTAAAGCAAACATTTTTTCTTTAAGCCCTCAAAACTTAGATATTGATTTATCTAACATCATTTGCATTATTGATGAAATAATTACATATGGTTGCAGTTCTTTTTTTTTTTTTTAGTTTTTTTTTTTTTTTTTTTTTTTTTTAAAGTTTATGTTGAGAGAGAGGGAGAACAAGCAGGGGAGGGGCAGAGAGCAAGGGAAAGAGAGAATCCCAAGCAGAGGCACTGACAGTGCAGAGCTCGATGTGGGGCTCGAACCCAGGAACCGTGAGCTCATGACCTGAGCCGAAATCAAAAGTCGGATGCTTAACCAACTGAACCACCCAGGTGCCCCCTGTGTGGTTACAATTCTTAAACTACATCCTGGTGTTCCACAAAAATTTGGAAAGCTAGTGGAGGCTTTATTGGACTTTTAGTTATGATTGAAACATTTTAGAGAAGGAAACATCATCCTGCTAGATCTTTGAGGAGACTTTAGTTTATAGATACCAGATTCTCAATGAAAACAACTAGTGGCAATGGCACTGAAGTAGCTGATGGGGTTGAGCTACAACCTACAACTTCAGTCGGTCTTATTGAAAGGAATTGGCGGTACAGGAACAGTACTACCAGGTCTCCGGTGCTTACGACAATCTTTTAATCTCAGGCCCTAACCGAAAACTATCGTACATAAGGCACTCTAAGATTAAAAAACATAAAACACAGTCCCTGTCCAAAAGATTGCATTTTCATTGGGGAGGTTAGGGATAAAGGCATACGGGATGAAATGATAATATAAGTGAGCTCATTGGACGAAATATAAAATAAGATGGAAATAAAGGTTTTAACAGAAAAAGGGAAGCCAGAGAACAGCATTTGGAAACAGAGGATAAGGACTCTTTGGAAGGCATAGAGTGAGACAAACGGTATAAGGGATGCCTTCTGGGCACTAGATTACAAAGATAAAAATAATAATCTGGGGCCTAACTCAGATCTGGGGTGGTCTTCTCAATTTCCAAGCTCAGGCGTTCAAGGCTGTTCTGCAATTTTTTTTTCATTCAATGTCTAGATAGCTTCCTGTTCAGTCTGCCGTAACTTATGGTATGATTCCGATTAGTTCTGTTCTTTTTGAGATTCCTTTGCCTCTGGCTCTTTCTCAGTCAGCAGATGTCCTAGCGCCACAGGGCTAACGTCTGTGCATCCGTCCAGGCCCCGCTGGGGCAATTCTCACAGGCAGCCTTCTCAGGCATCCAAGCATCTGGATCGTGCCACACCTTCATGTCTTCCCACGTTTGTGCTCACTTCCTCTATCATACTATTCTTTGATGGTCTTATTCCTTACCCGTGCCCAGTACATTTCATGAGACCCACGAACTCCCCATCCCTTGTCTCTGTAATCCTGGCACCCAGCAGTGACTTAGGGTTAGCACCCAGAGAACACCCGATGAATGAATGACTGGTCCAAACCTATCTCGCAGTGTTCCTAACTCAATTATGGTATCATCAAAGACCTGGGCTCACCAGGAGAGGTCACCAGGAGCTGTGGGAGAATCAGCTCTGATCAGATGCAGAGGCAGAACGTACTGTGGTCAAAGGCAAGCTCCTAAGTCAAACTGCCTGGCTTCAGCTACAAGTTCACTGCTTCCTAGCTGTGAGCAAGTTACTTCAGCTTTCTATGCCTCAGTTTCCTCAGCTCAAAAAAGAGAATAATAACAGCACCTGCTTCATAGCTTTCTTGGGAAGATGAAATGAGTTACTATACATAAAAGTGCCAGAACGTTGGCAGGCACAGACTAAGCAATGAGTAACTAGCAGGCACTATTGTCTCTAACTCGCTTTTCCCTTGCTTTTCCCCACATAGTATTCCTTTTACCATCCGAACTCCTAAGTCTGTTCTTTTCTCTCTGTGCTCACTATTCAGTGCAGGCCCCAGCGTTTCTCATGGCCTTTGCCTTCCAGTCTACGGACGTCAGCAAACTCTTGCTGCAGCTGGACATCCTCTAAAATAACATACACGTCTCTTTCCCCTAAACCTTGAGTCCCTCCCGATGATCCTCGGAACACAGGCCAAATTCTTAGACTGGTTCTCTCGCTTCCAACCCATTCCCAAGCTAGTTTTTGGGACTTGCCTCTCATTCTCTCTCTCCCCCCTGATGCCGACTGCTCCTTGCTCCCATCTCTCACAAAACTCTTTCAGTCCCTGGACCTTTACCTATTTTTGCCCACATGTCAAGGCTTGTCTCAGCAAAAGCACTGGCTTCTCTGATGCTTCAACACTGTTCCTACTGCCCTTTTCATCTGACATTCTACTTTTCATGTCCCCGAGTTTGGCTTGGGTCTATTTTCTATCTTCCATATGTCTTTTTAACCTTTTGAATGTAGAGAAAACGGGTATAATAATTTTTTAATGTCCCTGTTTGCTATTTCTAGCATGTCATTTCTGAATCAGTTTCAACCGCCTTATATGTCATATTTTCCTGCCTTTTTGCATGCTTGATAGTTTTTCCAACTGTATTGAGATATAATAGGCATATAGCATTGTGTCAGTTTAAGGTGTTCCATGAGTTAATTTGATACACTTTTTTTTTTTTTTTTTTAAGTAAGTAGGCTCCACACCCAATGTGGGGCTTGAACTCATGACCCTGAGATCAAGAGTCACATGCTCTACTGACTGAGCCAGCCAGGCGCCCCTTGATGCAGTTATGGATTGCAAAATGATTACCACGGAAGCATTAGTTAACACCTTCATTATGTCACATAATTACCAATGCCTAGTAATTTTGGATCAGATGCCAGACTTCCCAATTTATCTCTTCGGATGCAGGACAGTTTTGTATTTCTAAAAATATCCTTGAGCTTTGTTCTGGAATGCAGTTAAGTTACTCGGAAACAGTTTGATCTTTTTGGCCTTGCTTTTAAGACTTATTATTAGGTTGGACCATAGCTGTGTTTAGTCTAAGGCTAATTTTTCCCCACTATGAAGGCAAGACCTTTCTAAGCACCTAATACCCTGTGAATTATGGGGTTTCCAGTCTGACTGGCGGAACAGGCACTATTCCGGGCCCTGTGTGAGCACTAAACACTGTTTCTTCTAATCATTTCAGGTGGTTCTTTTCCAGGCTGTGGGAAATGTCCTCACAGGCATGTATTGAGCAAGACCCTGCTGACTACCTAAGGGGGACTCTGCACATCTTCAGTTCTCCCTCTGTGCAGCTCTCTCCTCTCCAGGGACCGCCGTGTGAACCCTTGTTGCCTCTGCCTCCCCAGGCTCTCAGCTCTATCTCCTCAATTCAGGGAGCCTGCTGACCGCTGCTGGGGCGCCCTTTCCTATCACAGCCTGCAGACTCTCAAGGTGGTCGGCTGGGGCAATCCTATGACTCACTTTGGTTTTTTTAAATTAAAAAAAAAATTTTTTTTTAAGCTTATTTATCTTGAGAGAGAGAGGGAGAGAGAATCTCAAGCAGGCTCTGCACGGCCAGCACAGAGCCTGATGCGGGGTTCGAATTCACGAACCGTGAGATCATGACCTGAGCTGAAATCAAGAATCAGATGCTTAACCGACTGAGCCACCCAGGCACCCCCGACTCACTTTGTTTCCTGTCTCTTGGAAAACGCTTTCCTTCACTGCCTGATGTTCAATATCTTAAAAAGTGTTGTTTCATATATTGTATACAGTTTTTTGGTTGTTTGAGGCAGAAGGATAAATCTAGGCCCTGTTACTCCATGCTGGCTAGGAATAGTGGTTCCTACTGCTAACTTATAATACTAACCACAAGGTATCAAAGCTGTGGGAATAGTGTGCTTGACTAGGGCAGAGATTCTGTAGTATATATTGTTTATACTTAGCACCTAACGCAGAGCAGGTGCTCAGTATGTGTGTGGAGTGAATGAAAGATTGCCCAACTTGAACACTTGGGACCTGGGAATTTATACAAAGCTAGCCTTGAAGATTTAACCATAAGTCTTTCCTTTACCTCCCTTTCTTCCACGCACCATCTCCTCTACCCTAAATGACCTTTCTGGAGTGCCCCACAAACATCCTCTCTTATTGTTTTCAGAATCCAACTCACCTTGCAAGGTGCAACCAAGACTTAAGGTCTCCATAAAACTTGTCCTGACAAGTGTTTTCTTTCTACTTTAAAATTGCTGGGGTGCCTGGGTGGCTCAGTCAGTTGAGCGTCCAACTTCGGCTCAGGTCATGATCTCACGGTTAGTGAGTTTGAGACCCGCATCCAGCTCTGTGCTGACAGCTCAGTGCCTGGAGCCTGCTTCAGATTCTGTGTCTCCCTCTCTCTCTCTGTCCCTCTCCCACTCGCTCTGTCTCTCAGAAAATAAATAAAAACATTAAAAAATTTTTTAAAATTGCTATAAAATGTACTGCTCACATTAATTGGATTATTTCTTATGCTGTCTTGTATTACTTCCTTTTTTATGTGTATACCTTTTGTTTCTCCTGACTACATTGAAGGGGTTGGAAACTAGAATACGGTTTCTTCTCTATGTCACTTAATAGATGTTCGGTAAATACAATGTATTTGGTGGCTATATCAAATAAACTGTCCAGTGGATTCTATAGGAAATGTAATATAACCACACACACAATACCTTATCACCCTCAGATGGCACCTCCCCATCTGCATGTGAAGGGTGAAGGGAAGACAACTCCTGAATCCAAATAATTTCTTTACTTACACTATTAGTAACTTATGACCTGTACAAGAAATCTGTTGTTTTTGCCCATACGGATCTCCTTCCTCTTCTTTTGTGACCATAACTCAATTTCCTCTGGGGACCCACTGGGCACATCCTTCAATACTCTTCACCCTCCTCTGGCCTAGGTGGAACCTAAGAGGGCTGGGCAATCCAACTCTATGAGCAACAAAGCAAAGGGGGACCATGGTGGGGCAGATTCAGTCCAGGGCTGACCCTGAAAGGACCCCCGTCACTTAGATCCTTTGAGCTGCCCTTGTTTCAAGTCCTTTCAGAGGCCTAAGGGTCCATCCACCCTGTATCATTTCAAATAAATTCCTAACTTCTTTAAATTAACCAGAGTTGGTTTCACAGCTTGCAAACAATGAACCCTAACTAAAAAGCCTCTGCCTCTGCTAACTCACTTAAATGTCTAGTCCTACAGCATAGACCATAGTTTTAGCTTCTTACTGAATGGTAGAAATCATATCCACAAAATACCAAAAACAGGCAACTTGCTCAGATCTAAAGGGATTTAGGTATGTAACTGTTGGTGAAACATCAATCTCCAATTGTTTGATGAAACAGATTTCTCGGATTGTACTCATCTCAAAGCTAAAAGCTACAGATTCAAGAACCTGGGGCAAGTTAAAATCAACCAAGAAGTGGGGCGCCTGGGTGGCGCAGTCGGTTAAGCGTCCGACTTCAACCAGGTCACGATCTCACGGTCCGTGGGTTCGAGCCCCGCGTCGGGCTCTGGGCTGATGGCTCGGAGCCTGGAGCCTGTTTCCGATTCTGTGTCTCCCTCTCTCTCTGCCCCTCGCCCGTTCATGCTCTGACTCTCTCTGTCCCAAAAATAAATAAACGTTGAAAAAAAAAAAATTAAAAAAAAAAAAAATCAACCAAGAAGCATTTACTGCACACATTTGCCTAACAGTCTCTCATTTTCCTCAGATTTCATTCCCATACATTGTCAGGTCATGAATCTCACCCTTAAAAATTCAGAAACAATGATTTCTCTTTATATGTATATGAATGTCAAAACTACTTCTATGTCTTAGTTTTCCATTTTTTCAACTGAAAAAAAAAATAAAGTTTTAGTCTTATCATTAGAAACTGTTTGGTTTTGAAAGCAGGAGACATCACAATCCCGGACTTCAAGTTGTATTACAAAGCTGTAATTATCATGACAGTATGGTACTGGCACAAGAACAGACACTCCGATCAATGGAATAGAATAGAGAACCCAGAAACGGACCCACAAACGTATGGCCAACTAATCTTTGACAAAGCAGGAAAGAATATCCAATGGAATAAAGACAGTCTCTTCAGCAAATGGCCCTGGGAAAACTGGGCAGTGACCTGCAGAAAAATGAACCTGGACCACTTTCTTACAACATACACAAAAATAAACTCAAATGGATGAAAGACCTAAATGTAAGACAGGAAGCCATCAAAATCCTCAAGGAGAAAGCAGGTAAAAACCTCTTTGATCTTGGCCGCAGCAACTTCTTACTCAACACGTCTCCAGAGGCAAGGGAAACAAAAGCAAAAATGAACTATTGGGACCTCATCAAAATAAAAAGCTTCTGCACAGCGAAGGAAACAATCAGCAAAACTAAAAGGCAACCAACGAAATGGGAGAAGATATTTGCAAATGACATATCAGATAAAGGGTTAGTATCCAAAATCTATAAAGAACTTCTCA